GGGGGGGGGGGGGGGGGGGGCTGCGCATGAGGATCACAAGCCGGTTAACCTGCACTGAGGTAGTGCAAAGGCTGATCGTGGCTGTGTGTGGATCGGGTATGTGCTTGATTCTGACCAGCAACTTTAAGCTTTGTGTAATCCACTACCTCCACATACTCATTGTCCCATTTTTCTCTGTTTCGTTCACAACAGGGTGCACCAGGCTCTCAAGGTGCCAAAGGAAGAAAGGGCGTGAAAGGACACGAGGTATGGCAAACGGCACTGTGCCTTTTAAAATCCGTATACTGTAGAGGCAGAAAATTTCGTCGGTCAATAATTTCGTCCAACTCCAAAGAAAAGGAGTTCGTCCGGTTGAAAATTTCGTCCATGGGTCATAGAAACGCTGGACAAATCGATATTCGTCCTACATTTAATTTAGTCCAAAAGCTCCTTGGACGAAAAAGACGAAATTAAATTCCAGACGAATATTTCTGCTTATACAGTAGTTGGTCTGTGTGTGGCACGTAGAAGCAATGATAGCGTTGATACCCCAAGTTGACACTACGCGGGCCCGTGGGAGCTGCTTTAGCTCTGCCCCGCAGCGTTCCCTCTCATCATCACATGTCGCAAAATTCTAGCAATTTTGGAGCAAAATATCGAAAATATCACGAAACCTGGACGAGTTTCTGGTTATGCACTACAATATTTTGAGCATGATTGAATACTTACCCTACAGCTTAGCTAGCTATTCATCGGAATATTAATTGGAACTGTAGACACACATTGACTCGCTGCTACTGCTGTGTTGTGTTTGGATGTTTAGGGTTATCCCGGTCAGCAGGGTGAACCTGGTATTCCTGGTCCACAGGGAGCAAAGGTAAGGTGGAATGAATCATCTTATACGGGGCTAGACACTGCCAGCGACATTGAACGGATGAATGTGCAATGTACATGTATGTATGTCACTATCATACTTATGTTAATGTTTAGTCTTGTGGCACTCGCCGTTCACCTGTTTTGCAGCCGATGTCAAGGAGAGTATGTGTGATGCATGCATGCAGTGAACAATCTCAGCATAGAGAACCCCAGATGAAGCAGTCTCTAAGGACTAAGCACACTACAAGCTAGTATGTCTTGTACCTGTGGCCAGGCTTTGAGGTGTATGTTGTCAGGAAGGCTCACTATTATCCTATTCCACTACGTAGTATTTCCACTGTATTGTATCATCTTTTGCTGCATTCTGCTATCTGTGCTCTGCTTCACTGCAGGGAGAAGCAGGTTTGCTTGGACCAGTTGGTTTGATGGGTCTCCGCGGCGACCGTGGTGACAAGGTCAGGCCTAATTGAGCCGGGAAGTGTGTGTGTGTGTGTGTGTGTGTGTGTGTGTGTGTGTGTGTGTGTGTGTGTGTGTGTGTGTGCATGTGTGTAGGTGTAGGTGTGCATGTGTGTATTTGTGCATTGTGAGGCATAAATGTAACGCTATTTGTCCAGCCCGCACGCGCTGAGTCTGACATTCACCACCCGGTAGACAACACGCCTCCTGGTTTGCCCCTTACGGGGTCACATAGCCAGTTATGGCATAGGAAGAAGGAAGGAAAGGTGTGTGTGTGTGTGTGTGTGTGTGAGTGAGTGTGTGTGTGTGCGCACGTCTCTAATGACTCTATCTGCGTGTGTGTGTGTGTGTGTGTGTGTGCGTGTGTGCGTGTGTATGTGTGGGTGGGTGTGCGCGCGCACGTGCGTGTACACGTACGTGTGTGTGTGTGGTTGGGTGCACGTCTGTGATTTGTTGCATTGATGTTTCATACAGGGCGATCAAGGTGTCCCAGGAACTGAAGGAATACCGGGACAACCGGTGAGTGTTTTCTAGTATTCCAGGGCCGCCGGAACCGGTCCGGTTGGGTTGCTCCGGTTGTCACCGGACCAACTCTGGCTCAGGTCACCCCTGGGATTCGTCTAAAACCGGGGACTGGAAAATAATGCGTACATGTACATGAAGTACTTTTTTTATCCATCATACATGTACATGTACATACATGTACATGTACATACATGTACATGACACATACATGTACATACATGTATGTACATGTATGTACATGTATGTACATGTACATACATGTACATACATGTATGTACATGTATGTACATGTATGTACATACATGTACGTGTACTATGTACATGTAAGTACATGTACATACATGTATGTACATGTATGTACATACATGTACATACTACTACTACTACTACTATAGCATGACTGCCCATTGGGCAATGTCACCCCCGGAGGGGGCCAGAGTTTGGAGTGCACCGTCATTGGCAGGACTTCTGGTGCCTCGTCAAATCTTGCTGTCGTCGGAAACGTTTCGGGCAATGCATGCAGATCAGCGGCAGTGATTCCCTATCGGCTGCAGCAAGACGTTTTCCACGGTTGCAGTTATGGCGGTTAAAACCAGCCCGGGACTTGAAGCAGCGATTGCAGCGTTGACAATGCTGGAAGCAGCAACTAGCGAGAGACGCCGTCAATGCCGTATCTGCATGTTCAGGGAGTGCAGGCTGGCAGCGATGAACTGCAAGCCCACCCTTACTACGGAACCATCGGCAGCAACTGACGCACTGTGCTGAACCACGCTGTTGGTGGACGGGAAGTTGGCGCTCAGCCAAACACTTGTGCCGTGCCTTGTCTTGAGGACGAGAGAAAGCCCGGTTGCAAGATGAGCAGAGTACGGATTTCTCTACTGCCCGAGGAGGCTGAAAAACCATACATACATGTATATACATACAGAAGCCTTGCTTGGTAGTTTAACATGTTTTTCGATTTTGACAGCATGTTACAAGGCGAGGACGCGTAGTGCTCCTGACTACAACCATAAACCGGTTGGCAGAGTCCCGGTCTTGCGACCATTTGAACCGTATTGGGAAAACCCAGGTTCGGACCCTCGTTACTCTACGGGTTGGTAGGATTTTTATAATTTCCGTTTTTTGTGTTGTAGAAGTCGTCGTGTTGCCGCCGTAGTATTGTTCACGTTGCTGCCGCTGCAGGGATCACGTCTGGAAGGATTTGTGATGTTATTTTCTTGTCTTCCTCTGTAATTAAATTATTTGTAATTTATGTTTCTTTTTTCGTTTGTTCTTTTTCTTTTTTCTTGTCTTTTTCCAACTTCTGCCCATGGTGGGTTTTCCCAATACGGTTCAAATGGTCGCAAGACCGGGACTCTGCCAACCGGTTTATGGTTGTAGTCAGGAGCACTACGCGTCCTCGCCTTGTAACATGCTGTCAAAATCGAAAAACATGTTAAATGTATATACATGTACTTCCTGCTCTTGTAGCAGTTGAGCACTCTTGCGTGGGGTAGTGCCTTTGCTGTTTGCGTTATGCAGAGCTCACTGACTTGTCAGTTTGAGCACTCTGGCAAGGTACGTTCGGGCCTGATTGGAAATTTTTATTTCCATTGCTATCAGGTTCGGCCTCATTTCCTCTGTGCTGCGCTGGCGAGTTCACAAAGGACGAAACAGTTCTGTCCGCAGATTGAGTGTATGTACATGTATGTACATGCACCCATAGTACCAAACTCCCATAGTAGTGCCATACATTGTACATTGACATCCATGCAAAATTATTCCCTGTAGACGGCTCTGAAAACTTGTGAAATGGCCAAATTCAGCTATTTCCGACCGGATTCTAAAAGAAAAAAATGCCTGCAGGAAGATCTCCCGAACCCCTCAAACCGGACCAACTTCGCCCGCCTTCTGGCGGGCCTGTATTCAACCTGTGAACATGGTACATATGACTTTCTTTCTTACCGGCATCTAGTCAATTCAGACTCTAGTAGAACGAAATTCTCTTATTCAGATGCCACAGGATGCCCGTATCTAGAACCAGTCTATAAATCGAAATACCTACAACCAGATTGGATTATGACACATTAACCTCCTAGTTTGACCTGGCTGAACCAACATCAATTCCATATGCAACAGTAGCTCGAGTTATTGCAATTTACGCGGTGAAGCAATTGAGTTGACCGGCACAGAAAAGGAAGCCTTTCAAGATTTGATTGTCACCGGGGCGCGAGCAAGGTGGCCGCTTGAGGAAGGTATCTGGATAGGAGATACCTGGATGCTCTCTTGCATGCTGCATGTACTTCAAAGTAGAGTAGAGTTCTGACGGTATACAGTCAGGCGCGTAGCGACGTCGTTGGAGGTTGTCCGGCCGGAGGGGGGTCCGGGGTGCCCCGTGAAAATTTTGAAATTAGGGTGCAAAATCCTGCATTCTGGGCACTTTTGGCATAGTGTAAAAAAAAAGTGGTCCGGTCAAAGCCGGACTGGCCGAACCGGCTGCCACGCCCCTCACGGTGTAGACCAGTGTATATCAGTGTAGACCAGGCTGTATATCAGTGTAACGTGAATAGGGTAGTGTGTGTCTTGCTCAGCATGTGCAGGCCTGTGAGCAAACTATAAGATGCCTCTGTGTGCGCGTTGTGCTTTGTTTGTTTGCTTATCTGCAGGGTGCAGCTGGACGTGATGGCATCGCCGGAGTCCCTGGCGCACCCGTACGTATTTGGAGGCACGCCCGCAGACTGTTTCTCCGTCGTAGTCTTATAATAGACCATGCCACTGTACTTGACTGCAGTAACCCGGCAGCATGCACCTATGTCTGTTTTACTATACAATGTACATACTAACTTGTACACTAATGTTATACTGCTCATTGCCGGCACTTCACAGAAAGAATGCATTTCTTTAGCTAGGCTCCTGCAAGCAAAATTCCTCCAGCATTGATAGTCTCACAGTCTTGATGAGACTGCATTCTCTGTCGTGTGTGAGTTTGTGTGTGAGTGTGTGTGTGCATGTGCGTGCATTTGGGTGTGTGTGGGTGTCAACATGTGTTTGTTTGTGGCATGTATGTTTGCATTGCAGGGTGATCCAGGCCCAGATGGTGCTATAGGTGTTCCCGGACCACCGGTAAGCCCCCGTCTTACCAGCTTAACACCATTGTGCTGCTCCTGCTGGTGCTGGTGCATTTTCGGCCACACATTGAGAAGAGATTTCCAGGCGACACCAATGCTTCCCCGCTATTGCATTCCGCTCTCTATACCTCACACGTCTTCCGGGGGGGGGGGGGGGTCACGTAGTGATGATGCGTGACCGCAGGTGCTCTAGCAGTTGACAGACCCATTGCTGCTCACCCGGCTGGTGTTACAGACTAGCCGCCTAGCATAGCTATGAAGTATAATCAATGACTTCTGCTTGTTTTGTTTTCATTCTCAGGGCGCTGCAGGACCGGATGGACCTGAAGGTCCCAAGGGAAGCAGGGTACGTCATGCGGCCTTTATGATGCTTGCTGAGCCTACTCTTCCCCTCTTTAAAAGAGAGACCGGAGAATTCGTACAAGCTTGACTGTTGAGAAGACAGAATCAATGACCAGGCTTCTGCAAAGCATTTTAATGAGAAATATTCTGGATCAGCATGTAGTAGAATGACAGGTTGGAGACCCATATGCATGCTCGCATGGATGCTCAATGTGCCGGTCCTGCATATATGCATGCTAGCATGGCCATTCAGTGTAGCCTGCATGCATGCATGCTTGCAGCAGTTGCTGTTCAGTGTGCCGTGCATGTATTCAGTTTGACATCCTGATCAGAGAGTTCTTTTCAACATCAGTGGAAGATTGCAGGACGAGTGTGCTCTGACTCGGAGTTCATTATGCACATACGAACTCACAATTGGGGTAGGATATGACATTCAGCCGTCCCTGCATGTCAACGGTTGCTTTATTGTGTGCCGTGAAACTGAATGCACTGATCTCCAGGGCTTTCAAGGATTCCAAGGAGTGCCGGGAGAAGCTGGCCCAACCGTAAGCTCTTGTGATATTTAAATTAATTTTTTCCAGGTGATATTGGTAATGAAGCTTGCCGTATTTTCTGAAGTATAATGATAGCTTGCATGCTGTCCTATACCAGTGAGTAGCACCTAAAAATCTCGCTGCAAAAGTGCTTTTGTTTGAGAATTTTCTCGAAAAAATTGTCGAGATGAGATCTTTGTAAGGCAAAGTAATGGCGCAAAATACAAAACTGTGCCCAATGCATTGCATACGAGCAATTTTATTAATTGTCAAAATGGCCGCACATGCTCCTGTCGGAGCGCTAGTAACTATGTCCAAAGTGAATTTTGACCATGACACATCGACCGTAGTGAGAACCTATACCATATTTCCCCGTAAGTTAGTTCTCCCCAATGACTTAGTACCCCCCTATAAAAAATACACTTTCCACTGCCGAGGTTATCACCCCGAAAGACAGTTCCCCCCGAAAGATAGTAAGTTCGTACCCGTCCTACATGTACAGACACCGTGCAGTACATACATCATATGCACGGACACTAGAGTTGCGCAGGCTTCCCACTGCGTGTCATTTACCCCCGATAAAAAAGTACTCCCCGAAAGATAGTACCACCCCCGAAAGTTAGTACTCATGTGGCTGCTAAGTTCGAAAGTTAGTACTTACTAACTTACGGGGAAATACGGTAGTCTTTCTTCGCCTGCCATGGCAGCAATGTGCAAAATCCCATACTCCGTTTCCATGGTTGCCACGTGGTGTTGCCATGGTATTTCGTAATATGCCTCGTATGATCACGTCTAAATTTTAGGGACTCCTTCAGTAGCCCCTAGCAACAGTTTAGGGTCCGGTTTTAGCTCGTGTTAGAACAGAGGCTGTGTGGCATGTCTGGTAGTCCTACCAGTAGGACCGAAGTCTATCCAAGCTATCGATAAAGCACTCTCGATTTTAAGTTGCAGCTAGGGTCCGGCGCATTCTGACGGCAGAAAAATTGGCAGAATTCGGTACTTTTTCTGGTAAGTTTCATGCATGTTTGGTATGTGGATAAAAAAATGGAGCAGAATTCGAGGAATTGCCCGCCATAAGGTTTGTATGGTTCTGCCAATTTCACTGCTTTTTGAGCAGAATCTGCCACCTTTTCGAGCAGAATCCGCCGGTCCCTAGTTGCAGCCCCATTATCAGGTCTTTCCTCTCTCCTATAAGCCTATTGTCTTGAGTGAGTTGAGTTGGGTATCATTTCAATCTAGTATCTTGAGTACACAGTGCAACATTGTGCTAATGCTATGTTTTTTTGCAACTCTGACTTCACTTGAGTAGTAAATCATGCTAGGGTGTAAGATGCATCCCAAGCTGGCGTTATTAGTGCCATGGTTAAATGTTTGCTTTGTGGAGCTAATTTTTGCATGAAACATTTTCACCGTTGGTTGTGGTGCAGGGTGATTTCGGTCAGGACGGTACAGACGGCGCGAATGGAGAGGATGGCGATGTGGTAGGTAACTACTGATGGTCGTTTAAAACTAGTTAGAACCCCTGCCGTCCTGCCGTGTATGGCATGGGATTCGTCAGTTGTTGTTGTTTCTCTATTTTACTTCACCAGAATTACAGGCAGTAGAATGCCTTCTCACTAGACCAGGTCTAGTTCTCACAAATGATGAAGAATGTGAATGAACATGCTAAAGCTAAAGCTAATGAAAAACAAGAAATAGAAAAAGATGAGAAAAATTTGTGTTTTATATTTTATGGCGGTATTTGTATGTGAGTGACAGTGATTACATGACAAGGGAAGGAAAAGAAAAAGATAGAAAGAAACGAGTAAGGAATAAACGAAGCAGATGTATGAAATAGAAATAGAGAAGTTCAGTCAGTAGCACTGGTTCACCCTTACTAGCACAGTATAGTTGCGGTCAATGTTGGTAACACTGTGGACATACACTGTGGACATACAGTAAAACCTGTCAAGGAGACCACTCTCACTCTCATAAGGCGACCACCTGCCTCAGACGGCCACTGTAACCCGGACCAAGGGATGCTATTTGCAGCCACACGACCCTGGATAAGGAGACCACCTGGCAACAGAGACCACATTTTGCAGGTTCCTTGAGCGGTCGTCGTAGACAGGCTTCACTGTACATGTATGCCACTTGCCATAATAGTACAGTATATGTAGATACGGAAGCTAGTGTTATGCACACATGTGTATAAGGGGATTACAACCTGTAGTTGTGCATGAATTACCCGGGATTACCTGTAGGAACTTGAGTCACCAATGGCGTCAATTTTGAGACCAAGTGCAGTTTAAAAATAACTTCAATGAATTAAGTGTACGGCACAAAACTTTCCGAGCAGGGTCCACATTCTGCTCCTTGAAACGGTCAATAACAGTAACTGTTGCTTTCCAACAGCGGAACGTCTGTGAGTAGGTTACATTGTTTGAATCTGTGCACGCACGCACGTGCTTGTGTGTGTGTGTGTGTGTGTGTGTGTGTGTGTGTGTGTATGTGTGTGTTTGTGTGTGTGTGTGTGTGTGTGTGTGTGTGTGTGTGTGTGTGTGTGTGTGTGTGTGTGTGTGTGGTGTGTGTGTGTGTATGTGTGTGTGTGTGTGTGTGTTGTATTCCTTATCTGTACAGGGTGATGATGGAGACATTGGTCCAGAAGTCCTTGTGGTAAGTGGGCCTTAGAGTAAGACAGGGACAGTATTTATGTCCCGACGTGTCCAGGTTTTTTTTTTTTCTCAGTTGGTGCACTCCAACACATTGACATCTGTGTGGTTAGGAAGCTGAGTCAAGTTGCATTAGGTATATGAATGAAGAAAAGTTTTTCTTGCCTCGCTTCATCCAGTGATTGATTGTTTGTACATCCAATTGACTGCAGCGTCTGCAATCCGGGCAATTGTGCAACGCAGAAACGGCTGGAGAGGTGGCGTACGACACTCTACTGGGAAAGCTGTATTTCTGTGACGGTGACACATGGGAGGTCAGTGTTCTTTCCTGAAACAGCTTATGGCACCTGAAGTATGAATTACTATTGTGTGTCTTTTGGCTTCTGACACGTAGCAGTGTGTCCAATTCACTTTTGAAACTGAAGCTGGCCATGTGTGGCTGTGTTACCTTTACTTACGGCTGGTTCTCAACGGTTACCCGTGATTTCCTGAAATATGTGTCACTAACGGGGGCTAGAAGGGGGAGGAGGTTAGCTGCTGCAGCAATTGCATGCACCGTTATAAACTTATAATGTCCTCCGAGCCTGCAGTAGGTTGATATTCCTGCGGGGCAGTTGCACAGGCATGCGTGTCAATCAGTAGGGCCAGACATAAGTTACCTTCTTGGAGTCTGGGTGGGCGAGAGAAAGTATGGGGCCCTTTACAGAATGCGATATTTGAGTATTTGTAAACTTGCCCACATTGGGTCTGTAACTATGGTCCCAGTTGCCTTGGTAGCACAGACCCCACAACGACATGTGTTAAAAGGGCCAAATGAAGGTCTAACAGCCAAGTAATGTCTGGGGCTGCAAGTAGTTCTGATCAACTGTGTTCCAGTAGATCCCGTAGGTTACCGTTTGCTAGGTCGATGTATTGTGTGCTGACCCGGCACATGTGAGCATGATGCTAGTACTGACTAGACACTGTTAGGACCTGTCTAGACATGCGATTGTCTGTACCGTAGCATTAATCTAGTACATGCATGGCATGCAATACCTGCCGGATCATATGACGGAACTGGTTTGCTGATTGGCTGTAGGTCTGTTCGCTTTATCAGCTGTGCTTTTTTGTTATAGTACCAGTTTTCACTTTGGAGAGGGGAGAGTTTTTTTGTCTCTTGGGAAAGCAGAGTTTTTTGGTCCTGGAGAGAGGACAATAGCAGAGTTGGTATGTCCGTGCCAAGGCACGATGATGTGTGCATACTATTAGTCTAGAGATTTTCGTTCAGTTACGAAGAACAGAAATAAATACAGTCTTCTTTGGAGTCCAGATTCCGTGACCGAACAACTGGTCCTTCGAGCCGGATTCGAGTCCGAGGCAGTAATCGGAGTCGATGGAAAAAAGAACGAGCGTCAGGTCGACGAAGGGTAAGCCTCCTTCGCGATATGGAGAGTGGGATAGTGTCTCCCAAGTTTCCAAGAAATCCAGTAAGGAAGCCGAACTGGAACTCGCGGCCAGGATACGCGAGAGAGAGTTGCAAGCTGCTGAGGAATTAGTCCAGCTGGAGGCTGAGGCGGTCGAAAAGAGATTGGAACTCTACAGAGAGTTGGTGACCAAGCGATTGGCTGCAGACAGAGCAGCGCTGGAGTTGGAGCTCTCAGAGAAAGGCTCCACCGCGAGCAGCCGCAGGAGTCGGAGAGATGAAAGTGCACGGAGACTGTCCCACGCAGGTGTTGGACAAGGGCTCACGACAGAAGCACTCGTGCGCCATCATCAACTCCTTGAGAAGCTCAAAATTACCAGCGCAGAGTCTGGGAGAGCAGGGCGCGCCTTCAGCGTGGTGGACGCAGTTGACATCCAGCCGACCAAGCCAAGACAAACACCAGCTGGTAGTCTGCCTCCATGCTTGAGTGCTGTGGATGTGGAACGAAGAAGTCCCCAGAGCTGGCTACCAAGTAAGACCAGAACGGTGGAAGTGGAAGCTGGTCGAAGTGACGGACTGCCATCCACAGTGACACATGCACAGTCCATTGTCATTGATGGTCCAGTGAGCAGCGACAGCGCTAGCGGCAGTCAAGTACTTGCAGGTATGTCTGGTGATAGTGCAGTGAATCCTGTGTTGCAGAGTAACAGTTTTGCCCCAGTAGCTGTGGCTAATACTAGTAACAACGCACAACACAGACCAGGAGAGACGGTCACTGTGCAGTCCAGCTTTGCACCATTCACCACAACTAGTCTGAAGCCACAACTGCCCCAAGGCCCACAGTATCAGACACCAGCTAACCAGAAGTATCACCCTGCTGTGACATCTCAAGTGCAGCCAAGTAGCTACACAGTCCAGCAGAAAGTGCCTAGCCAGCTTGGACAGGCCAGAGTAGTGAGTGCAAGAGGTCAATCAGCCAGACCCGCAGCCAGCAGCCAGAATCCTGCAACTACTGTCTACTCACCGTATGTACAGCAGCAAAGTGCACCAGCAGCTGCACAGAGTCAGTTGGCTACGCAGTATAGTCAGCCAGATGGACAACGTCCATATACATCACCAGCTGCGAATCCTGCAACTTTCTACACGCCATATTATGTACAGCAAAGTGCACCAGCAGCTGCACAGAGTCAGTTGGCTACGCAGTATAGTCAGCCAGATGGACAACGTCCATATACGTCACCAGCTGCTTACCCTCATGCCGGGACATACAGATCCCATTTGAAGCCGTTGAAGCTACCGCAGTTTGACGGAGCGCCAGTGAACTATGTCCCTTGGAGACAGAAATTCATGAGTTTGGTGGGAACAGACCCCCACACAACTGAGCACTACAAGATGGCGAGACTGAGAGAGTCACTCGCCGGAGGGAGTGCCGAGGAACTCGTCCAGGACATTATGGACGGAACAGGCGCCTTTCAAGCAGCATTGGTGGAAATAGAAGCCTGGTATGGCGGTGAGGAGCGACAACTTGAGCGTCACGAGAAAGATATCCTGACGTGGCCCAAGATTGACAACGCTAAAGCCACCGACAAGCTAAAGAAGTTTGCTCTAAAGCTGCGGAGTACCCTGGTCAACATGAAGTCGTGTGGCATTGCTCCCGGCCGTGAACTGTACCTAGCAGCAACCCAGAAAATACCACCGACCCTCCTGCTGAGGTATTTTGAGCTGCACGAGGACCGGAACTGCGATGTTTGCAACTTTGCAGACTGGCTATTGAATCTGGTCCATATGCTGAGGAAGGTAGAGGAGAGGCAGGCAGAGACCCACAAGACACCCACATCAACGGCAGTGCTGCAGAAGTCACAGAGCCGACACGATCATCGACCACATAGAACGTTGGCAACTACAGCAGGAAATGAGACGCCAAAGGCCAGATGCAAGAAGTGCGGAGAGGGCCACGGCTTAGCTGACTGCCGGGCATTTGCCACCTTGTCAACAGCAGACCGGTGGAAATTCGTTAAGCCGTTGAATGTGTGTACCTGCTGCCTGCGCGTTGCTGGCCATCGTTCTGCTGAGTGCAGGAGCAACCCATGTGCTAAGTGCGGTGGAAAACACCATGACATGCTCCACGTTGTGAGACAACAGCAGAGCTACAGCAGGAAGACGGACAAAGAGCCAGCCAGCATGAATCAAAGCAATCGACTGGACAGTCCACAGCGAGGCGGTGGATTACGTGAGAAGCCACAGCGTCCATCCGACACAGCAGCGACGGCCACAGCAACCACCTGCACCGCTAACACCGGGGTCCATGTTGCATTCATGACTGTGCCAGTCAAGCTGCAACACCAAGACCAGATGTATGATGCAGTGGCACTGATTGACTCGGCATCATCGACCAGCTATATCAGGGCTGACGTTGCTGAGAGCTTGGGTGTCAGCGGGCCAGATGAGCAGCTCACCACCTCAGTCCTAGGCGGAACGACAGTAACAGGCCGCCGGCAGAGAGTCAACCTGACCATCCACAGTCATGATGGTGACTACAGCACGGCGTTCCAAGCATGGACCCAGCCCGACATCACAGCTCCGCTACCGGCCGTTGACTGGCATCAGATGAGCCATCAATTCCCCCACCTCCAGCAACTACCGCTACCACAGGTCGACTCGCGGCAGATAGACATCCTGATTGGTATCGATGTCATTGACGTACACCGAGTGCTGGAGGAGGCCACTGGGCGCGCGGGAGAGCCCATTGCACGCCGTCTACCACTCGGCTGGGTTTGCTTTGGGCCGGTAGACATGCCGACGAGTGCCACATCCGAGTGCACGCTGCACGCATCTGCAGTATGTGAGCCATTGCTCGATACGCTGGTCACTAAGTTCTGGGAGGATGACCAGGTGGGCATGCAACCACAATCTGACAAGACGATGGCTGAGATAGAAGCAGAGCACCTCGTGGCTGACAGGATGAAAATCACTGATGGTCGTGTCACGACAGGCATCCCTTGGATTCGGCCAGACCACCAGCCACAGCTGCCGCCAAACCGAGCCATGGCAGAGAAGCGGCTGATCAGCCTCGAGCGATATCTTCTTAAGAAGCCGGACATCCAAGCAGAGTACGACAGAGTCTTCCAATCATACATCGACAAGGGATATGTGGTCCGCTGTGAGGATAGTGCCGCCAGAGACGGTGACCAATGGCTACTACCGCACTTTCCTGTCGTGCGCCACGACAAGGCGACCACGAAAGTGAGGGTTGTCTTCGATGCAGCGGCTCGTCAGCGGGGTGTGTCTCTCAATGATGAGATGTACACTGGTCCGAAACTGCAACATGACCTGATTCACGTCCTACTCAGGTTCTGCCGTGAACCGGTTGCGATCGTAGGAGACATTGCAGAGATGTTCCTGCAGGTCCAGCTACAACAGCAAGATCGGCGGTACGTACGCTTCCTGTGGCGCAAGTCGACAGACGAGCAACCATCCATTTACGAGTTTACTCGACTCGTGTTCGGACTGAAGGCATCACCGTTCATCGCCTGCCGAGCTCTGAGGGAGGTAGCCGCACAGCATGGGGAACAGTACGACTCAGCAGCCCGAGCAGCGGTCGAGGAATCGTTCTACGTTGACGATTTCCTGAACTCACAACCATCAGTACCAGCCGGCATCTCAGTACGGCAGGGGGTGCAGGACCTGCTCCACATGGGCTCGTTTCACCTGCGGAAATGGCGCAGTAACAGCCGTGACGTGCTCCGTTCTATCCCGGAAGCCGACCGAGCCGCCGACGCACTGGTGAGCATCGATGATTGCAGCGACGCCGCATCAGCTGCAGTTGTGAAGACGCTTGGTGTCGTGTGGGACGCAGCGTCTGACACGTTCAGCTATCGCTACAACACACCGGACGACCAGCGGCTGACGAAACGAAGCGTCCTATCCAAGATGGCCAGCATCTATGACCCAAGAGGGCATATTTCGCCGTTTACGATAAGGGCTCGACTGCTGTTCCAGGAGGCATGCATTCTCGGCTGTTCCTGGGATGACCGTCTCCCATCAGAGCTGGAGACCAAGTGGCAGAGGTGGTTTGCAGAACTACCAGATCTAGCTGGGATCAAAGTGCCACGATGCTTCAAAAGCATGGAGCGCCAGGCTGACACCGCGAAGCTCACAGTACATACCTTCACCGATGCCTCGGCGCACGCCACTTCAGCTGTCAGTTATGTCCGCGCGGCGTATCCGGATGGTTTTGTGAAGGTCAGCCTTGCATTCGCCAAGGCGCGGGCAACCCCAATCAAGAAAGTCACCATCCCTAAGTTGGAGTTGCGAGGTGCAGTACTCGGCCTGCGCACCAGCAAAGTTGTCAGCCAAGCCCTCGCTATTCCTGTTGCTGAACATGTGTTCTGGACCGATTCCCTCAACGTCGTGTACTGGGTGAGGAGCCATGCCAAGAACTTCACTTCAGATGTCGCCTGCCGGGTCGGTGAGATTCAAGCCGACACCAAAGCTAGCCAATGGAGACACGTACCAGGAGTCCTCAACCCAGCCGACTTCCCATCTCGAGGTATGAAAGTGCTGGACCTCGTTGGACGTCACACATGGTGGAGTGGTCCGGACTTCCTGACCAGACCGGAGACAGAGTGGCCGCTTGTGGAGCTTGCTACCCCTCCGCAACTACCTGGTGAGCTGAAGAAGAAGCCATGTATGACATTCGCCAGCCAGGTGACGCCATCTCGACTAGATCCTGCCACATATTCGACGTGGGAGCGTCTTACCAGGGTGACTGCCTGGTGCTTACGGTTCGTACAAAATGCCCGACGGCAGACTGCGACAGTCACGAGGGGGGAAACCCACGTCGACACCGCCAACACCAGTGCCCCACTAGTCTATGTCCGTTTAGCAAGCGGTCATAAGCCAAGATCAGTAGTGACAGTACCGGTGCTGACGGCAGCAGAAGTAGCAGGAGCCGAACGACATTGGTTTGCACAAGCTCAGCTGTCAGCGTACCCAGCCACGCTTAAGCGCTTACGGGCAGGTGAGGAATTACCACCATCTGACCCTCTCTACCGGCTCAACGCGGTCCTGGATGCGACGTCACACCCTGCTCTCATGGTCGTCAACGGACGACTGAAGCATGCTGTCAACCTACCTGTTGGTGTTCGCCAGCCAGTGATCCTACCACAGCGTCACCGAGTCACTACGCTACTCATCCAGCGCGAAGACGACCTCTGTTGCCATGGTGTCGGAACCCAGCACCTGCTGTCCAACCTACGACAGAGATTCTGGATTGTACATGGTACATCAGCGATCAAAAGTGTACGTGCACAATGCGTTACATGCAGCCGACTGATGAGTAAGGCTGCGGAGCAGATCATGGGACCGCTACCCAACCATCGCACGTGTGGTTCTCTCAACCATTTACCAGATGTGGAGTAGATTACGCAGGACCGTTCTACACAAAGCAAGGGCGTGGTCGAGTGCAGCAGAAGCGGTACATGTGCGTTTTCACCTGTTTGGAGACCAGAGCATGCCACTTGGAGATGGCCTTCTCTTTGGACACAGAAGCATTCCTGATGGCATTCTCCAGATTCATCAAGCGTCGCGGCACTCCGTCCATCATGGTGTCGGACAACGGCACGAACTTTACAGCTGCCGAGCGAGAGCTCCGAGAGGCGAGCGAAGCCATTGATCGCACGCAAGTCAGCAGGAAATTCGCTCATGAAGGAATAGAGTGGCGGTTCAATCCTCCGCGGGCACCCCACTTCGGAGGAGTATTCGAAGTTGTTGTGAAAGCTGCTAAGCGTGCCATCACCACAGTACTCGCTAATGCTTCGCTTACCGACGAGGAGTTGCTGACCGCACTGATTGAAGCAGAGCATCTCATCAACACTCGTCCGCTGACTACAGTCTCAGATGATGCTCAGGATGATCAGCCCCTCACTCCCCAGCATTTCCTTGTGGGACGTATGGATGCGCCTCTGGCCAAGGAAGTGACGGTGCTTGGTGAGCATCAGCATCAGCGGAAGAGATGGGCGGCAGTACAGCGATTAGTAGACGAAGTGTGGCAGCGATGGAAAAGAGAGTTTCTACCATCCTTGAACCTCCGGAAGTGCTGGCGCCAGGCCAAGAAGAGCTTGAAGGTGGGTGACGTGGTGATGTGGATGAGTCCCGGCACTCCGCGCGGAGAGTGGCCATTGGGTCGCATTATGGAGACCTTCCCAGGAAAGGACAACAAGGTGCGCGTCGTGGACGTCAAGATTGGAGGCAAGATCCTGCAACGTGCCATCCATCATCTCGTTCCTTTGCCAGTTGGAAATGAGTAACAGTGATGGACATGATTATGTAGTTGTGTCACACTCGGATTGTTTTTGTTTTTTTTTAGTGTGGTTTTCTCCTCGTGTGAGAGGGGGATATGTTCCAGTAGATCCCGTAGGTTACCGTTTGCTAGGTCGATGTATTGTGTGCTGACCCGGCACATGTGAGCATGATGCTAGTACTGACTAGACACTGTTAGGACCTGTCTAGACATGCGATTGTCTGTACCGTAGCATTAATCTAGTACATGCATGGCATGCAATACCTGCCGGATCATATGACGGAACTGGTTTGCTGATTGGCTGTAGGTCTGTTCGCTTTATCAGCTGTGCTTTTTTGTTATAGTACCAGTTTTCACTTTGGAGAGGGGAGAGTTTTTTTGTCTCTTGGGAAAGCAGAGTTTTTTGGTCCTGGAGAGAGGACAATAGCAGAGTTGGTATGTCCGTGCCAAGGCACGATGATGTGTGCATACTATTAGTCTAGAGATTTTCGTTCAGTTACGAAGAACAGAAATAAATACAGTCTTCTTTGGAGTCCAGATTCCGTGACCGAACAAACTGTATGCCGTTAGCCATTGCATGACTGCCTCACGTGTGTACTGTTTCCCTGCTGTATGCCGTCTTCCTACAGTGCGTACGTGATGGTGGTTGTGCGGGTAAGTGCAGCAACACCCACGGCTAAGTACTGTGTGTTAGTGGCCATACCTAACTTACCACTAGCAATGTGGCATGCGTCTTGGCACACGGATAATAGAGAAAACGGAAGGATGAGCCCTCCAAACATCTCCAGTGAAATTGCATCCGAACACCTCCAGTGTCATTGCAAAATGCAACATCACTGCGAATGTGCTAGCAATTGAGTGATGTTTTAAAAGTGCAGGACAGAGAGGAATGCTTTTAGCGTTATTGTATTACTCGTTGGCTTGCAATGCGTCACAGAGAATTTTGCACCCAGTGTTTCACTACAAGCAATGCTAGCGGGGTTTTCCCCTTTCCCCTTTTAAGTTCTACACTGTGTCTGTTGTACAGGTTGCGAGGAGTTTGTGAGCGAATGGACCGGGTGGAGTGCTTGTTCAGTGACTTGCGGTGGCGGTACACAGAGCCGCACTAGGACAATCCAGGTGCAGCCCGACTTCCAGCTGGCCAACTGCCCATTGTCCGAGACCAGGGAGTGCAGCCCCAACACCTGCGGTAAGCATCTTGTCCCGCCTGGGTGTGTGTGTGTGTGTGCGTGTGCGTGTGTGTGTGTGTGTGTGTCCGGGGCCCACGTGACCCCTGTGGCAGTGGCTCTACAGGACAGGACAGGACAGGTGTGTGTTTGTATATATGTGTGAGTGTGTGTGTGTGCGCGCTCACATGCCAAGTTACGAATGATACCATCCTTGTTTGGGTTGGAGGTTGTTTATTGATCACATGATCTGGTCTGAATGACATGACGTAATTATGCGAGGAATGGCGAGTTACATGTGCAATGAGTGGCAGATCATGTGACATGTTTCCAGTGAAACCCTTCATATTTGCCAAGCATGTGGTGCCATCAAAAAATACCCTCCGTGGACTCAGTGTTTGATTACAGAGTCATTCGTTGTGCATTGAGATGATGTTATTGCATGCTGCCCTATAAGCAGTTACCTATGTTCTTGTCTTTCATGTTGACTGCAGAACTCTGCATGGAGGCAGGAAATTCATTCGGTGTCGGTGATATAGTCAATGTACTGCGAACAACAGACGTAGCTGCTGATGTACTGCTGGTCGTGGACGAGTCCAAGAGCATGGATCCGGAACACGACTGGCTGCCAAGAATGGTTGATAGCCTGGAGGCGAAGCTGATGCAGAGAGGAATCGGCGGTGGTGCACTGCCCAACTTGTACAGTTTAACTGGATTTGGTGCCGGTAGTGTCCTGCCAGACCAATGTCCCACGCAGAAGAAAACTCGCAGCGGCCAGCGTCTGTTCCGTGCCGTGGAGTATCGAGATGTCAACCACCAGCTGTCCACGGCCGCGAATGGTCAGCGTGAGGACGGCTGGCATGCAGTCAAGTATGCTGTGGAGACCACACCATGGCGCCGGGTGGCGGGTGTAGCACACAACGTGATCCTGGTGACGGATGAAGATCGGGATGATGACTGTGGTGGTAAAAACCTGACGGCACAGCACGTGACAGACCTGTTGCAGAGCAATGGCTTCCTGCTCAACTCCGTGCTCGATCAACACTACACCGCCGTGGGAATAGCGGACATTCCCACCGCTCTCGGTCTGTCCGGCTCGGCAAGAAACAACCGTGTGGCGTACATCTCGGACGGTCGAGGCTCCTACTTCAACATCACGGGTGTGACGGCATCGATTGAGGCTGAGAGGCCGCGCTACAACTACGACACTGAGAGGGACTACGTCGACTGGACACTGGGCCAGGGTGGCGCTGTCTGGGACTTGAATTTCCTGCGTGATCCCAACAGTCTGGTGCAGGATTCCTTCACGGAGGCGTTTGTGGACATCAAGACGAGAGAAATCCTCTCGCAGACCCAGTCCTGCTACCAGTGTTTCTGTGTTCTTGCAGACGACGGTGCACCGCGCTCTGAGTGTGCGACAGTGGAACGCTCTGAATGCAATTGAAGCTACGCTAGGATGTCTAGCCATAGGTGAGTGAGTACCTGTGCACTTAAGTTCAAAGTGTAGCAGTCGACTTTGTGAATAACGACCCTCGATAGTGCATGAGAAAAGGACCACAGGCAACGTATTGGTGATAGTCCCCAAACCTGGCGATTAAGACATACAATGTAGTTTCTACTGCTTTCTAGTGAGGAAATGCATGTGGGCAGAATGCATGTGGGCAGAATGCATGTGGGCAGAATGCATGTGGGCAGAATTGTGAAACAGAATAGCCGGATAGCTTCAAGAGGTTTCTGCAAGATTTCTTAAAACCTTGCCGAAAATTGAGAAACACGCCCGGACATGAATGCACTTGAAATGATGGGTAGGGATGTATGGGTAGGGATGTGGGTAGGGAGGTATGGGTAGGAAGGTATCTGTAGTGAGAAGGTATGGGTAGGAATGTATGGGTAGGAAGGTACACTATGATGTATGTGCAGGAGGTAAGTGTTGGGATGTATTGTATTGGTAGAAGATCGCAGGTAAAACATGATATTTCCACCAAGTATCGAGTAACTTAGAAGTTCATAAGTATCGAGTAACTTAGAAGTTCATAAGTATCGAGTAACTTAGAAGTTCATAAGTATCGAGTAACTTAGAAGTTCATAAGTATCGAGTAACTTAGAAGTTTAAGTATCGAGTAACTTAGAAGTTCATAAGTATCGAGTAACTTAGAAGTTCATAAGTATCGAGTATGTGATTGATATGTGATTAGTATGTGATTGGAGTTGTCTGGTTACACACAGCCGTCCCCAAGTGAAAATGCGTTGACAACTTACTAGGCCTTCTTGCTGTGGGGACCTGTGTGTGTGTGTGTGTGCACGCGTGTGTGTGTGCACGCACGTGTGTGTGTGTGTGTGCGTGTGTGTGTATCTGCACGGGTATGTTTTCTCCTCTGCATTTGCAGATCACCCAACGCTCTATGCATCATTGTCAGTTTCAAGTCTCCAAGTTACTACATAACTTTCAGATGTGCAATCTTCTTTTCAACTGATCTGTTCTCCTTCAACAAAATACAAGAATGACCAATTTCAGTTTGGACAATGCACAACAGTGAAATCATTGTCGTGTTCAAATGCGAAATCTCTAATCACAGAATTCTTAGAATACCATGTCTATGCTTGTGTGGCATGATTGCAATGTCTCTCTTCTCCTGAGTGCCATTTAGCTGTTTCCATTGCATAGCACGCCTGAAGGGATTGCTGCCAGTGTGCTGTTAAAGTCCTCAGGATCTATTGAGGGAACCCGGACAGTAGGATATCCTAGTTGTGCGTCAGGCCAGTAGCCCCCGGGATTTAGGGGACCCGGTGTAACCCGGGTCAACTTTGGAACAGCAGAGGTGTGAGGGAATAGGTGCTAGGAAGGAGCCAGGTACTAAAGTGTGAAGACATGTTGTGAGGTGTTAGTGTTATTACACCATCCCACCCCCATAGACATCCCACTCCCACGGACATCCCACCCCCATGGACATCCCACCCCCATGGACATAACGTGCAATGAACTCAACAATGCTCAGGACTAAGTGGCAGTCGCAATAAGCAAGCAATTAACACAAGATCGATAGTAGATCAACTCAAAAATTCTCAGGACTAAAGTCAGAATAAGCAAGTAATTAACACAAGCTGAAACAATAGCGGGAACGGTCGCAATAAGCAAGTAGTTAACACAAGAGAATGTTATTGCGAAGAACTTGATCGCATAGCAACAAGTATACATTATGATTATAGCCAGTATCTGATAAGGTGTCTAACAACCCCAAAGAGGCATTAATCATGAAGACGTCAACACAACAGAACATCTTACTCTTCCCGTCATTCCATCTGTCTGAGGGTGGTTGGCAGTGCTAAATGCAAGTTTAGGTGCCTGGAACAGCTCTGGGGTTTCGATCACATACAATACTAGAGCTGAGCCATGGTCCATACAGTCCGGCGAAATACATTTTGAGGGGTGCAAGGCAAACCCATTACGAAGTCCATAGAAATATCTGACCAGGGTTGGCTAGGTAATGATAATGGCTGAAGTAAGCCAAATCGGGCTGCCCTCTTTTACTCCGCTGGCAATTATCACAGGACTTAACGAATCGTTTCACATCTATACCCATTCGGGCCAATAGAAATAGTGTGCGATGCGGAAATACGTACGATCACGTCCCGGATGTCCAGCAGTAATGCACCCAGGATATTCTTGAAGGAGATTGAGCCGCACGTCACCCTTGGATATGCATACACAGTTAGGCCTGGGCGGATAATCGTTTCACATCTATACCCATTCGGGCCAATAGAAATAGTGTGCGATGCGGAAATACGTACGATCACGTCCCGGATGTCCAGCAGTAATGCACCCGTTTTCATTTCTTGTTGGCTGAGTTTTACGAAATAAACAAGAAATGTTGTTCTTTTCGAACGAACAGGTCTGGGACCGAGGTCCAACAGTTTTGGGCGTACTGGTACGCCGCAGTCCCTCATCTTTTGTTTTCTTGCTTTGCAAGCTGGTTGCCTTTTTCTGGACTCCCTTGATTTCGTCAGTCGTAGATCTACCTGCCTTTCCGTTATGCCTCCAAGGAAATCCAAGGCCCCCTCGGCAGCGCAGCTGGTACCTCCAAGGAAAAAATCCAAGGCCCCCTCGGCAGCGCAGCTGACCGTGGAGCTCAATGCAATGAGGGAGAAGTTTGAGGCGGAAAAGGAAGAGAGCGCCCTGAGAATCAGGCTCCTCGAGGGACAGCTGGAACGGGGAAATGAGTCGTCCTCGTCCAAGCGTAAACGCCGTAATGTTTCTGTGTCGTCGTCGTCTTCATCTTCTTCGTCATCATCTTCTTCATCGTCCTCGTCATCAGATTCGTCTGACTCGTCGGATGACTCCCGCCGGAAAAGAAAAACCAAAAAATTCAAAAAATCGAAGAAGTCGCGAAGATCCTCCACCTCGATGTCAGCGCGAAAGTGGAAGACAAGGTCTTATGAAGTGCAGCACGGCCTGAATGAGCAGCTGCAACGCCAACTCAAGAAGACCAGGCGGGACCTGCGGAAGCTGAAGGGTGGCCGAAGTCTCTCTAAGAGGCTCAGAAGAGGTGAGTCGTTGCTGTCTGCTAGACAAGAATGGTTGGTGGTGGCGGATGTGCATGGCCACGAGGCGGCCAGCAGGTTTCAAGAGGGGGGTGAGCTGGTCGACATCCTGTCGTCCTCCGAAAAGTCAAAAAAGCTAATCGCTGCGATTCAAAGCACGAAGCAAAGAGCCCCCACTGTTAACGTTAGGCAGCCCTTTCGTGGCAGTGCCCCAGCCACCTCGTCCAGGAGCTGGGGCAATTCCCCAATCCCCTTCACGCCGGGCGTCACAGCAACCCCTGCCCCAGCAGTTCCCCCCAGACCCCCCAGGCCTGTGTGCCACCGCTGCGGCAGCGCTGACCACTTCGTCAGATTCTGCACCCAGACCATCTCTGCCCCCGCTGCTAGAAAATAAGCCTGCTGTTGTTGCACCAATTCATTCCGATGAAGAAAGAGATGTTGATTCTTATTTGATGGAGGCTGATGGTGGGTGGGATGTGCGTGAAGTTGGTGTTCAAGATGTTCAAGTAGGTAGCCTAGCTAAATGTATGCAATTTTGGCGCATGATGGGGGCATCTAGGTTTATTCAAACCATAGTACTGCATGGATACGCACTGCCCTTCATAGAGGTCCCGCGTGCAAGAGAATTTGCAAACCACCGCAGTGCATGCGAGAATGCCGAGTTTGTTTGTGACTCGGTGGAAAGTCTGCTGAACCAGGGTTGCATTCAAGAAGTAAAAAGGGAGGATGTTGTAGTCACCAGTCCGTTAGGCGTTGTGAACAACGGCAAGAAGCTACGACTCATTGTGGACTTGAGGTATGTAAACAAGCATTTGCAAAACTTTAAGTTCAAGCTCGAGGACATGAAGGTCGTGGCAAATGTGTACTCTCAGGGAGATTATTTGGTTACGTTCGATTTGAAGAGTGGGTACCATCATATTGAAATTGCGAAGGCGTATTGGAAGTACTTAGGTTTCTCCTGGGTGGGGAAGGGGGGTGATCGCAGGTGGTTCGTTTTCCGTGTTTTCCCCTTCGGTTTATCCACTGCCCCATACATTTTCACGAAGGTAACCCGTGTCTTACTAAGACACTGGCGGAGGGACGGCATCAGATGCCAGCTTTACATGGATGACGGGTCGGGTGGGCACTCTACAGTTGAGGGTGCACAGGCAGTAGCGAAAAGATTGAAATCAGATCTAGTTCAGGCCGGATTTGTTCCAAACGAAAATAAGTGCCACTGGGAGCCCTCACAGACGGTAGAAATGCTTGGCATGGAAGTCGACATGAGGGAAGGGATCATACGGGTCACTAAGGGACGGGTGGAAAAGCTGAAGACGTTTGTAGAAAAGCTGTCACAGGTCGAATATCCAACTGCCAGACAATTGGCCAGGCTTACGGGGTATTTGCTATCTATGTCGCTGGCATTGGGCCCCGTGTGCAGGTTGAGGACGAGGTCATTTTATGCACTGATTATGAACCGTGAGTCGTGGCATGCAAAACTCAGCTGGTCTCAAATGGCGCTTCAAGATCTGGAGTTTTGGTCTGGCTCGTTTAGTCAATGCCACGGTCAACCTTTTTGGAAAAAAGACCCCAGGGTGACAGTGCTCTCGTGGTCCGACGCGAGCGACTCTGGCTGGGGAGGTTTCTCAGTTACATCAAAAGGAACTGAATTAGCTAAAGGGGAATGGACCAAAGAAATTGTGCAGGCTGGTGCCAGCTCCACATGGCGTGAGCTGCGAGCTATTTTGTTGGTTCTGAGTTCGCTGTCGAAAGAGATTGAAGGTGGCGTTTGCATTCACAGAAGCGATAACCAGGCAGCCGTGCACATAATACAAGTAGGCAGTTCAAAATCTCATTTGCAGAGCGAAGCACTGGAGATTCACAAGCTGTGCGCCGTGCATGGTATTCAGTTGCTGGCAGAATGGGTGCCTCGCGAAGAAAATGAGCTGGCCGATTACCTTTCAAAGCTGTCTGATACGGATGACTGGCAGTTAAATCCCAAATTGTTCGATTGGCTTGATTCGATGTGGGGCCCTCACAGCATTGATTGCTTTGCAAGCAGCAGAACAAAGCAAATGAGTAGATTCTGCTCAAGGTGGTGGAACCCGGGGTGCTCGGGTATTGATGCATTCACTGTGAATTGGAGCGGAGAAAGAGTTTGGCTGGTACCACCAATGTACTTGATAGGGCGTGTGGTAGATATGTTGATCGTGTCAAAATGCCACGGTACTTTGGTTGTTCCAGAATGGCAATCGGCGCCATGGTGGCCAAAGTTGCGTTGCGGCCCAAAGTGGGCAGATTTCGTTAAGGAGGCAATCAGCCTGCCAAAGTCTCATGATACCTTCCTGGAGGGTACTTGTCCATACAATTTCTTTGGGGGCAGTGTGAGTCCTTGTGACGTGTACGCACTACGCATTTGTACAGTGACAAACTGTGTTTGTTAGAAGAGGGATGCTGAAATTCGCCGGCCGCTGGAGTTTTTCTCTGACGGAAAGATGTCTGTTTGTGGAGCATGTGGTGATGAGCGAGAATGCGTGCATGCAGTGTCTGCGAGGTCCTGCTGCAGGATGTCCCCACTGTGGGGAGGTGATTGTGCTCTGAGCACGTAAGCAACTGCCTGGCAGTGGAAAGCTGTGGGTGCGAGTGAATGGCAGGAGTGGTGGAAGATCGCCAGGTATAGCGACGACATCCCCCTGGGGGAAGAAGGAAGCTGACGAGTCGACTGCTCTGACATAGCCAGCTAGGAAGCATTGACAGAAACCATTCTATTCTCTGTTCAGAACCAGCCAAGGACAACCTCTCAGAGGACATGAAGGCGCTGGAACAATGTCTGCCATCCATTATGAATATGAGTCGGGCACCAAGAACTGTGAAGAAGTACGACTCTGCTTTCTGTAGATGGAGCAAATGGGCAGAGCGTCAGAAGGTGCCTCATCTTTTGTTTTCTTGCTGTGGCTGTCCCCCCGCAGTTGTTATTCTGTGATGAGTGTGTGTGAGTGTGTGTGTGTATGTGAGAGAGAGAGAGAGTGTGTGTGTGAGTATGTGTGCAGTACTGACGTGTGAGTGAGAAAAGAAAGGATATTCTTGAAGGAGATTGAGCCGCACGTCACCCTTGGATATGCATACACAGTTAGGCCTGGGCGG